CTTCCCTCACGCCGTTGGTGTCTGTCTCTTGCACGCATACGCACGCGCGCGCACACACACACGCACACGCACACGCACACACGCACACGCACACGCACACGCACACGCACACGCACACGCACACGCACACGCAAACGCACACGTACCCACACAGACGCACAAGCACGCACACACGACGCTTGATTCGTTTCTTTCAGCTTGCTTCATCTTCTGCCTTGAGAGGATCGATCCCGATGCACGCATTTACATATGCGCAATAGGACGAAGACAAAAGCTGTGTGCGATGCGATGCGATGCGATGCGATGCGATGCGATGGCGAGCTGAACACATGCAACCACACAGACGAACGCACGAAAGAAGCAATAGCCTGCGATCTCGAGTTCCTCGCTCGCACACCGCTTCCTCCGTTGTCGCAACCCCCTCCATTTGTCTGTCTCTCTCTCCCCCGCTCCGTCTGTCTGTCTCTCTCTCCCTCCCCGCCCCCCTCCTGACTTTGCGCGCGCACACACATGTATTCCATTCGTCTCTCTCTCTCTCTCTCCCCCCTTTGCCTTCCGCGCGTACGATCTCACCTTTTCCTTCCTATTGCCTCTCTATGCCTTCGTGTCTGTGTGTTTACGTGTGTCACATGTGTGTGTATATATGTGCATAGATATAGTCACAGAGATGTATATGTATTATACACACACACACACACACACACGCACACACACACACACACACACACACCTGTCTCTTATACACATCTAGATGTGTATAAGAGACAGGTCCATGCCTATAAAATTTCAAGTCATTTGGCTTAACCAAATAAGAATTAAAAATCGCCAAAGATGGCGGTGTCAAAACGTGCTCGCCCACGTTTTTTTTTTCACTTTTTTCTTTCTGTTTTCATTTTAGTTCGAGGTCTAACAATTTTATTATTTCTTGAAATTTTTTTAGTGGCTTTTAAATTTTGTGAAGTACACATCTGTAAATTTTCAGGGCATTTATATATGCCCCACAAAAATAAAAATTCGCCAAATATGGCAGTGTTGAAAACATGCTCGCGCACTCACTATTTTTTTTTTTCGGTTATTTTTCTTATTAGTATTTGTTTTTCGTATTTGATTTTTATTTCAAATTTGGTAAGGAATTTGGATGTAATGCTCCAACAAATCTTGTTTAATTTATTTTTCTTTATAACATATATTTTCTCATAGTTTTATGAGGTTTTTTTTTTGGGGGGGGGAGGTTCCGTGTTCGGTCCAAACGACCGAACGCGTCCCCAAGAGGTCCCATACGTTCCGGCGTTCAGTCCGTCCCAAACGACGGTTACCTTGGATCTAATAATATTTTTTAAGTTAATGAGATAAATTTTCATACCCTAGTATACACAATCCACCTTTTCAAATTGGTTGCAAATATGGAGATGAATTGAATTAGAGAATGGAGGGTTGGTGCCTAAACCCTACGAGCACCATAACTTCACGAAACCCTCACGTGCCATAAAAATCAACGGAAGCAACAAAATCATTGTTAGAGGTTAAACTCACTGATATGGTATCAAAAAAAAATCATAAGGCATAAACTGGTAAACTTAGCAATCCAAATAATGAAAAAATTGAAAGAAATAAATACATCAATTATAAGTATCGAACTCACTATAAACTATGTAATATTTTATTTAATATAGTAAAAGGTTATATTTTGATATTTAAATCGAAAACAACTTATAAAACAGTGAGAAACCATTCTCGTCGACCTATGAAAGAATGACTAGAAATATATGCATTGTATCAAATAACTTATATGAGTGTGCACTTTAATATTTTAAATAATAAACCTATAATAATAAATTAAAATACTATTGTTTACATTCCTAGTTCACATATGTAACAAAAAGTGACGTCTAATAGTCCTTCGATTAGCAAAACCAAATATAAAATTGAACCTTACTCTCCAATCCGACTATACCGATATTTTCATATCAATAAATTTTGATTGATAAATTACCATTTTTATATAAAAAAAAAATACTATTGCCAATATGTTCGATGCATGTCATCGATGTAAGGTTGCACACTCACCATGTCGACAACATTACCAGGTACAAGATGATAATATAGTTTTTTGTAATTAAAAAAATGATGTATTTTCACACGTTCTTCAAGTGTTTGATAAATATGATGAGATAAAGACAAAGAAAGTTGTATAAGGTCAGTTGTCTTTTGGTGTTCGGTTGCATTTGTTTTTTGACACATCATTTGTGTGAAAATAAATTACACCACTGTAAACCCAACAAGAATGTTTTTATTATTAAAAAAAATAAT